TTAAACACTTTTGAAAAAAAAAAAAAAAAAAGACGTGGGAGGTGTGTCAAGGCAGCAGGTTGAAAATTCCAAAATGTAGCCACTATTAACAGTGTTTGCCTAGTCCTTGTACTAGCTTGCATTACTGTGATCTTACGATTTTGCGATTCTTAATAGGTGAGTTAAGCCTAGGCTGATCTAATTTAAACTACCTGAGAAAATATGCATACTAAAATTAATGATTAGAAATGGTTGTTATGAGTGTTCCAGTGGAAGGTCATCTACACACCAAAGATACACACTTTGACTGAATTGACTGATCATTAAATGCTAGCTTACTATAGTGCATGTTAAGCTTATAATATAGTACACTCCAGAGTTTTATTTTAGTGTATATAGGCCATACATTGTACACTTAGTATAGTTGCCTGACAGTATTTGTTCTAATCAAAATCCAAAATCAAATTGACAAATATCCTCTTCAAACCAAAGTGCCTCTATTAAATATAAATGATTATTGTGATTATTATTAGGATATAACAATGCTAATACTAATAATGAAAGATCATTTAAAAAATATTTTTTGTAGCCAATTTTTAATTATAAATGGACTAAAAAATTAATACAGGATGTTCTTATATGTTGTTTTCATTCTAAAATTAATACATGACAAAGTGAGTTCATAATGCATTTTGCATAAAATAGTAATTACCCCAAAACTCTAATAACATGTTCACAGTTGTATTATATTTTGAAAAAATATATATTACATTATGAACATTTGTTACATTTAACGTACTACATTGTGAGTTGCTACATGATGCATTATTCTGCAATTGTATGCAACCATAATGGAGAGGACCACTCTCAAACTTCTGTGAATGCACTGGTTTAACATCATGTGACATATTACGGACTGATTGGACTTATTTTTCTGGTCTTTTACAACAGCTACAGAATGCCCTGACAGCCAGCAGCTACACTTATGCCGTTACCTTTGGTATATAATATTGTAATATCCCTAATCTTTCTTGTAACTGGCATATCCAAATACTATTTATTTACGCGTAAGATAGAACCACCTGTTGAATCCTGTGAAGCAGCAAAAACGCCATCTGATATAAATCACATGAAGCTACGCAGAAACTGAGTTGGACAGGTTTATCATCCTTCTTTCAAATCCAGCAGCAGAGGCATTGCCATTCATTTGGAGGTCCTGGAAACGGTTTACTAATCCAGCTGCATCATAACCATTTCCAGCTCCTATATATGGGCTTCAGATCATCGGCACACAAACTTTCATCCAAGCTGCTTAACTTCTTAACAGGTTGGCCTAAAATCATGAGAGTGCTCTCTTTATATTCCTTTTAGAACCAAGCACTACATTTGTCAACAGCTAGCTGTGGAAATGACATAAAAGAAACTATTTCTTTGGAATAATTTGTGCTTTAAGGCTATTAACCTACAAAACTGCCACCTTCTGACACGTAATGTATGACCTACATCTAAGTATGCTTATTTGCTTTTCTTATTTGAAATTTATTTTTAGTAAAATCAATGTAATACATTTTTGTTCAATAACATTTTCACATGAAGCTACGCAGAAACTGAGTTGGACAGGTTTATCATCCTTCTTTCAAATCCAGCAGCAGAGGCATTGCCATTCATTTGGAGGTCCTGGAAACGGTTTACTAATCCAGCTGCATCATAACCATTTCCAGCTCCTATATATGGGCTTCAGATCATCGGCACACAAACTTTCATCCAAGCTGCTTAACTTCTTAACAGGTTGGCCTAAAATCATGAGAGTGCTCTCTTTATATTCCTTTTAGAACCAAGCACTACATTTGTCAACAGCTAGCTGTGGAAATGACATAAAAGAAACTATTTATTTGGAATAATTTGTGCTTTCAGGCTATTAACTTACAAAACTGCCACCTTCTTGACACGTAATGTATGACCTACATCTAAGTATGCTTATTTGCTTTTCTTATTTGAAATTTATTTTTAGTAAAATCAATGTAATACATTTTTGTTCAATAACATTTTTTCTTTTGTATTTTGAGAGAATTTCATGGTACTATTTAATATTTATGCAATAATTATGATCAATTTTTCCCATTGAGAATAATACTTTTTTTTTTTCTAATAATCTTATATTACTTTTCAATTATGGCAGTATTTCATGTTAAAATGTAGACAATGCCTTTAAAATCCACTTTGTGAAGGCAGATTATTGCCATCTGGTGGGAGTAAAAAAAAGAAAAACTTCTGAAATTCCGTCGGAGAGTCATGTTACAAAAAGCTCTATACAAAAGCTCTATACAAAAGAGTTGTTTTTAGACATAAATACTTATTTTTGTGGATTTGGATTTATATTTAGACATTCTCAAAGACAACTTTTTGTAAAGGTTTTTTTTTTTTCTTTTGGTTGAAATGTTGGTTTTGAAATATTTTTGCATTAATTGTACTACAGTCAAACCTGAACACAAAGAAATCCATTTTATCACACATATCATCAGGGGCCAGTTGCATAAACATAGCCGCTATGTTAATTAAGACTGTGTCTTAAGAACTAATCAGTCCTACTTTTTGGATTCAAATTAGACCATTCTCCATTTTTATAGCTGACTTTAAAAAAGTTATGACCAGTCTTAAAGAAAAATAATTAGATGACTAAGTTTTTAAGACTAGTCTAAGTGGTTCATGCAACCGACCACAGAGTTCAACAAAAAATGTAACAAAATCAATTTTGATTTTAACCTCGTATTTGAGACTTCTGGTTCAATTTTGCCATATTGTAACACACACCAGTTCATTTGTGTGTGTATAATAGTGTTCTGTATGTGTGTGTGCGTGTGTGTGTCTCTCTCTGTGTGTGTGTGAGTGAGTGAGTGAGTGAGTGAGTGAGTGAGTGAGTGAGTGAGTGAGTGAGTGAGTGAGTGAGTGAGTGAGTGAGTGAGTGAGTGAGTGAGTGAGTGAGTGAGTGAGTGAGTGAGTGAGTGTGTGTGTGTGTGTGTGTGTGAGTGAGTG